AACCAAACCGAATTAATTTGGTATTTCGGTTTCGGTTTTTTCGGTATTTCGGTACAAAAATTTCGGTATTTCGGTAATTCGGTTCAGTATATGATAGGGATGGGCATAAAATCCGAAAAACCGAATTCCGAACCGAACCTATATAAATTGGTGAACCTATATAATATATATGACTATATCTAAGCCCAATTACCGAATGACTATAGCCCAATACCCATACGGCCATACCGTCCCACCCAGCTCCCCCAAGCCCAATTACCCAAGCCCCAAGCCCATTACTCTTCCTCTCTAATCTCCTCTTACCACTTACAGCCTTAGTTACTCTCTTAGACCATCTGAATGGCATTAGGGCATTAGGGCATTAGGGCTTAGGATGTCATCTGAGTCGAGAATCGACTGCGAGTCTACGACTTACGACTTACGACTTACGACCAGTCGACAGTCGAGCTCGAGTCTCATCTCATCTTCACCCGTTAACTTCACTACTTTTGTAAGTCTCATCCCAGTACTCTCTGAGGTTTCTTCTGAGTTTTTATATTTTTAAGTTTTGAACTTTTTGAGTTCAGAGTTCAGACGCATAATTTTTTTAATTTCTGATTTTCTGCATCAAACTAATTTAGGGTTATAGGCGGCGATTTCCAGCTCGATTCGATTCCTCACTCCTCACAAATTCCGGGCAAACGAAGAGTCGAAGACGCTGCTGTCCTGTTCCAGTGTTCCGAGCTCGATTCAATTTCAATTTCAAAGGTATGTTTCGTTCTCTTTTGGTTGTACTGCTGATTGAATGAACTGCTGTTCCGAGCTTTTCCCTTTAGTAGGCAAATATCATCTGTATCACGTTCATGCTGTTTAATTCATTTGCTTGTATAATAACAGTTGTGAGTACACGACTATGTGTTAGGCTTACCATATGATTACTTTGTTTAGGTCTGATTTTTANCAAGGATAACAGAATGTGAAGAGTTATAATCATCTCTTGGTGCGTATGATGTTTATTTGGATGTGATCTGAGGTGAATAAAGGACTATCTGAATTTGCATATATGATGCCACAAATTGTAGATTAGGAGTATTTTGTTAGTAACTAGCTAGCTAGTGTTTTTGGATTCATTCACTTGTTCCTTCCTTTATGTTTACTTTGCTAAGTCTACTTGGATTAGTTAACTTTCAAAATCTATTGAATCTAAGGACTAGCTGTGTTCAATTATGTCTTGATTGTCAATGGTATATATCATCTATGAAAGTTAACGAGAAACTCCTGTTTCTTGACTATTTTATGGTGTTTGTTGAAATTCAATAACAATGGTAAATATAGACGAGCAATACGAATAATAGTGAGAAGTATAGTAGTTGGTGATTTAACCTTACTACATACAGCAATTTCTACTGTTTATCACAATTATTCACCAAATATAGGAAGATATTAGATGCCAAAAAAACTGATATTTGTAAGTTATGATTATGCTCTCTCTGTCTGATGGAATCTTGAACGTTTTGGAACTATTGCCATTGATGCATCTAGCAGACTAGCACTATGAGGGAATCAGCTATCAATACATAAAGCATAAAGTTTCTATTTCAGGGCAGCTACTAATTATGCTAAGGCCAAAAGAGGCAGCCCAAAGTTCAAAATCATGTGCTTTCCAGTCTCTGGAAATGCTTAGTTGAGACTCAAGGAGTGAAATTATTGAGACTGACCCATCAGAAAGCCCCACAGCGAGGGATGTAGCTGATGGGTTCCAGTTTATACACAAGCACATAGAGGAACTGACATGTTCATCACATACCTCTAGCAAATGATTCCCTATAAGAAAGAAGAAGATGTCATTGTAGCATGGTAGTGCTTCAGTTAATACAAAAGTACAGTGTTAAATGAAGAAAGGTACCACAAGGACCACCAGTGCTAAATGAAAAAGGATAGAAAAGCCGATGGCAATATGATATATATAAGTCCATGTACTCGGACGAATCAGAACAAAATCATAATACTTGTTAGAATTATGATTTTAGTCAGCTAAAACGTTGGACCTATAGAATGGTCTTCGAGGTCATTAAGGACTATTTTAGGCCGATTAAAGGGAAATTTATTTATTTATTATTTTTCTTTAGGTTCCTTAAAAATTATATTCTCTATATATATTACTATTTATATACTAAACCTTAATAAAGAGAGCATCCTTAAAATTAAATTAGGATGTAACTGATACAATCCTTCCCTCCCCCCTCCCCCACGTCAAGCTGACGTCCGCCATCTGCCCAAAATTGCTGTAACAGCAGTCGAACAAGAAGACCCAATATTGACCCATTAAGCCCAAAATCCAGCATTTTGAGCAAAGGTGGTCCGCCATCTGCCTTCATTTTGGCGTATCCCTAGTGGCCATGCCATCTTCATGCTCAATTGAATTTCACATTTCGGGCAACTCTAAAGAGCATCTCTTCTTGTAGCCTCTACCTGTTGCTGTTTTGCGCAACTATAACAGAGGCGTTACTTTGTTCTTTCCGGAGTTCGACAGCCGTTCAAGGTAGCCGTAGATAGTAGATCGTTGGACACGCCCTGGTTCGCTGCACTAAAAAGGTCAATTTCGTTCTTTTTCTTTTAATTATCTTTCTTTGAGAAAACATATTTCTCTTATAGTTTATAGTTCACAACCTGGTCGACGAATTGTCCAACTTACCTGATTTATTTTTTCTCATTCACCATATTTGTTAAACTTATGCAGGTATGGATATAGCTCATTGCCACCTTGATGGAAATGCCGATGCTGTGGAGTTTTGTCTACACGAATCTTTCCATAATGTTCTCGCCGCTTGCACCTATACTTTACAAGAAGGAGATCAGCCTAGTAGAACTGGCAGTATATCCCTCTTTGATGTTGATGCTGAATCCAGTCGACTTAGCTTGACACACAGAGTACAAACAGCTGGTATTTTTGATATAAAATGGAGCCCAGTTGGTGGAAATGTGGGTCCATCACTTGCTCAAGCTGATGCTAATGGTTATGTGAGAGTTCACAGACTTGAATCTTGTTTGAATGAATCAGAAATTCCTGGTATGTTGGAGCGTCTCCTCTTGTGTGATATTTTATAATTGTCATTGTGGAAAATGTTAAGTGACGGAGAAAAGAACTAATATTCTTTACAGTTAATGAATACCAAGTTGTAAAGTGAAGTGAAATGGGTATTTTGGATTCCTATAATGTGATATTGTAAGGGTGTGTAGTATGTTGTATTGTATCATTGGAATATGAAGAAGTCCCTCTGGTTACTGTCAGATCATGAATAAATAACTGTATGTGATATTATTTTCTTACTTTTATTACATTTGTATATAGCAGTTGCTGGAAGGAAGGAAAGACTGAATTTTTTTAAGTAATGTGTAGATTGTAGGAATTGGAGTACGATGTGTCAATGTCTTAGATGTAATACATGTTGCTTAACCACTTCCATTAGAAACTGAATATTTTTATTTGAAAAAAGAACTTAGCTATCAATAAGTGTCCCTCCGTTGAAATATCATCTTTTAAAGTCTTTATAAGTAATTCTCTAGCAAAGTAAAGTGGTTACTCAGAGTAGTGGTCAACGACTCTTAAGTTTTTTGATACCAACATTTTTTTTTCTTGTGAGTCTTCATACTTCATAAGTAGCTTGGAATGCATAAATCACAAGTGTGAGGGCATATATTTTGACAGAGTATAGGAGTTCAATGTGTAGGTAGAATATTAATAGAATTACACAGTTTTCTTTTCTCACTATAAGATTGAACCAAAGGAAAGGAAAGACTGGAAAGTTTTAAGAATGTGTAGATTGTAAGAATCACAGTACGATGTGTCAATGACCTAGGTGTAATACGAACTTCATAACCACCTTCATTAGAAACTGAATTTTTCTTAACTTAGCTATCAAAAACTTTCCGTCAGTTCCAATATCATTCTTTTTTAATCTTGGCCAAATATATATGCGGCCCCATAAACTTGTCTGATTTTTTTATTTAGACACTTGAACTCAGGCTACTATTTTTTGGACATCTAAACTCATTAAAAAGTGTACCAATTAGACAATTAATAATTTAGGTATAATTAGAGAAAATATGTCTAGTTGGTACACTTTTGTTGTCCACTTGGTACTAGCCTGAGTTCATGTGTCTAAATGAACAAGTCAGATAAATTTAAGGGGCACATATATATTTGGCCTTTAATCTTTAATAAGTAAATGGCTAGCCAACTCAAGCGGTTACTCAAAGTAATAATGAAAGACTCATGTTTTTGGTATTGATAATTCTTGTCTTGTGAGTGATCATACTATGGTAGCTCGGAATGCATAGATCATAGGGGGGCATATTTTTAACTGAGTGTTAAAGTCCAATGTTGTGCATGCTGAATATTAATAAAACTACCTAGTTGTCTGTTCTCATGACAAGAAGCAATGACCTGTCAGCACTTCTCTTTGGTGTTACAGTGTGAAATGATATATTTTAGAGTTTGAAACACTTGATAAGTTAGTTCTTTTGTTTGAGCGCTTCAATCATTATCTCCATCTTTACTATCTTACTAGAGATTATTTGCTTTTTCGGCGGGGGGCTGGAACATACATGCTTTGGTGCTCAGTAAATTCTAACAAGTATTATGATTTTGTTCTGATTCGTCCGAGTACATGGACTTATACATATCATATTGTCATCGGCTTTTCTATCCTTTTTCATTTAGCACTGGTGGTCCTTGTGGTACCTTTCTTCATTTAACACTGTACTTTTGCATTAACTGAAGCACTACCATGCTACAATGACATCTTCTTCTTTCTTATAGGGAATCATTTGCTAGAGGTATGTGATGAACATGTCAGTTCCTCTATGTGCTTGTGTATAGACTGGAACCCATCAGCTACATCCCTCGCTGTGGGGCTTTCTGATGGGTCAGTCTCAATAATTTCACTCCTTGAGTCTCAACTAAGCATTTCCAGAGACTGGAAAGCACATGACTTTGAACTTTGGGCTGCCTCTTTTGNTTTGCATCTGAAAAATCTCAAGGAGGTTCGTTTTGCTCCCTCATTTCCTCCAATAGAACTCGCATTCTTCAATTGATAATTCAACGAATTTTGAAAACTGAAAATTGATACAAATTGAAATTGATTTTGTATTCTAATATTTCGAAATTTTCAGAGGGAAGAATAATAAATCTGAAGAAACAAAGTCAAGAGCTTCAATTGGAGCTTGCAATTGCAAATGCTGAGTTTGAAGAGGCAAAACACCAGAAGGAATTTGCTGAGCAAGAGCTCAAAGGCTACGAGGTTGAATTAGCCAGGAAAGAATCTGCTATTCAAGCCCTAGGAGGTTTTCCATTTGTTTAGTATTTGAATTCGCTGATATTTACTGGTGAACTTTTTAAGCTAATTGAAACAATTTAATTAGCTGAATGTTAACTCCAGAAAATTACTTTTCTCCTATTTCTAAGAGATCTGTTTCAATTTTATGTTATAGTTTAGGATCGGTTTGATTCAAGATGAATTATCTATTTATGGATCTGATGTAGAGGCACTTGAGGTAAAAAATATCTACTCGAAGTTATATTCTCCTTTAAGGCGCACTTAGTTCTCTGTTAGCTTGTAATGATTGTTGAAGTTTGTATTAGATTTGTATTTCTACTTATTTATATTTGTATATCTGAACATTACTGCATTGGCTTGCTAACAATAACGCTGTTTCTTATATGAACTCACTGGTCGATTGATGATATTCTGAACGTGAAAAGAACAAAGAGGCAGAAACTCGGTAATGACATGCTTCCTTCAGTTAAAACTTCTCAACTCTCTTTGTTCTATTACAATCACTTTGGCTAAGTAGAAACTGCATCTTTAAGACTAACTACATTTAGAATGTCTTTGCAATTGTCTTTCTTATTCTATCTATCAATGCCTATGCAGAGATGGCTTCATTGAGAAAATGCATGAACTCAATGCACAGATAAGGTACTGTTTGTTGAAGTAAGTTATCGGTAGTTTTCACTTCTATTAACATGGACGTCATCTTATTTTAGTTTTTATGTGATTCCATTATGTGGCATATGAATTTTTTCCCCTGCAAATATTAGGAGTTAATTTTTGTGTGTCCTTAATAGGCAGTAATGTTTTACTATTGAAATGGAAGTATGAAGTCAGGCTAATTAGGTACTACCAGTAGATTTCTTTTCTTTCTTTGCAGATAAGGTTTATAGCTCTTATACTGTAGTTTTTTCAAAGGGAGTCTTGGAGTAACCGGTAAAAGTTGCTGCCATGTGATCAGGAGGCCACGAGTTCGAGCAGTGAAAACATCCTCTTGCAGAAATGCAGGGTAAGGCTGCGCACAATAGACCCTTGTGGTCCGGCTTCCCCGAACCCCGCGCATAGCGGGAGCCTAGTGCACCGGGCTGCCCTTCCATACTGTAGTTTTTTCAAACATAGGACAGCTAAGTGCAGGCTCGGAGATAAAACAGTCTCTAGTCAATCCAGGCTGATGTTAGAAGAGCTAACTCTTACTTGGCTGCTGCTAATATTTTAGGATCTAATTCATTTATACATGTCATGGCCTAAGTAGTACAACCAACTTGGCATTACATTAATGCCTGATTCAGTTTGTAGTACTTGATGTTTGAAGATGATCAATGTATATTGTTGTTTAGACATGCTTACAATCTTTGGGTATGTCATGATAACTAGCAAAACGTAATTATGCTTGGGGGTGATCATAATTTGTGGCTTCTTTTTAAATGAGAAAGACGAATACTTTGACCTTCTGAATTAGAATCTACAGTTATACAATGATTATGTGGTTTTTATTTCGCTTTTCAAGGGGAAGTTTTATAGAGCTGTGGTTAAACCTGCCATGTTGTATGGGGCGGAGTGCTGGCCGGTGAAGAACTCTCATGTTCAGAGAATGAAGGTTGCGGAGATGAGGATGCTCAGGTGGATGTGCGAGCTCACCAGGTTAGATAAGATTAAGAATGGAGTTATTCGGGAGAAGGTGGGGGTGGCCCCAGTGGATGAGAAGATGCGAGAAGCGAGGCTCAGGTGGTTCGGGCATGTGCGGAGGAGAAGCCCTGATGCCCCGGTGAGGAGTTGTGAGCGGCTGACGGTGGTCGGCTTGAGTCGAGGCAGAGGGAGGCCTAAGAGGTATTGGGAAGAGGTGATTAGGCAGGACATGGCTAGAATGCGGATTTCCGAGAACATGGCCCTTGATAGGAAAGTCTGGAGGTCTAGTATCAGGGTTGTAGGATATGGGCTTTTAGAATTTTTCGTACTTCTTCCCCGGGGTTGGGTGGGGTTGGGTAGGGCTCTCCATAGATGATTTGTGTATTGGATTGTGCCCCCTTATGGTAGTTACTGTTTGATATTATTGCATGCCATTTTATTTATGGTTTTTATGTTTAGATAATTATTTATGTTATTTCTGCTGGAGTTACTAATGCTCTTTTTTTTTTTTTTTGTTTTTCTTTTCCTTTCCTGAGCCGAGGGTCGATTGGAAACAACCTCTCTGCCCTTTCGGGTAGGGGTAAGGCCTCTGTACGTATTACCCTCCCCAGACCCCACTTTGTGGGACTATACTGGGCAGTTGTTGTTGTTGTTGTTGTTGTTTCGCTTTTCAAGATTAATTTGGTGATATTGTATAGTAACAGAAACAAAGAATTTTTTATTAAGCCCAGTCCTCTAGCCTATATTTCTTGTTCAGTTCTGGCTCAGAAGTATGCAAATAATATAAATTGAACGTGATCCAGCGGTGTTATCACTGGAACTAGTACATATTCCCTCCATTGGCACTCATGCACATTAGTTGTTCAACCGGGAAAGTGTAGACATGGAGATGCAGAGCAAATATTCTCCACTATTGTGATAGTAATTTAAAACTCTGAGTTTCTAATTTGGCAGAAAAACCTTTTAATTAGTGCCAGTCTTGTTAGTATACTTCTTTTCTTGAGGGAACTGGATATCTCAAATTTATTTATCAAAGTGACACGTTAGCTCGAGCACAGAAGATTTAGTGGCCAGATATAAATTTATCTGTTTCTGCTCCAACTCCATAGCTCATTTCATTTGAATTTTGTGACTTCACCATGTTGAGATTTAGCTGACCTGCTGTTAAATGGCTGAGTTTTCTTCTACTAAAGTGGATGCAGGAAATTCCATGAGACAATAGACAATAGTCTCTACATTCCAAAATGATAATTGCAGCGAGCCAGCATCAAATCCTGGTGTGTTAACGCACACAGATAAGCGCTCTCTTTTTTTGATTTGTTGGGGAGTTTCTTCTATTATAAGGATGTTCAAATTTAAAGATTTCAAAAATTCTATTGCTGCTTTTCTATACGATAGCTTTTTCAAGGGGATCAAGAATTTTTAAATCTTCACTAGCAGGTTCTGCAAAAACCAAAGCAGAAGATGCTGAAGCTGTCAAAACAGACCTCCAGAATAAGCTGGCTCAGACAGTTCCCAGATCACTAAGGAAAAAGAGGAATACCAAGTTGAACAGAATATTCATAGGCAGGCAACTTATTACGTTTTTGTTAAGCCTAACTGCTCTCATTTCCTTTTTTATGTTGCTGTATTGTCTGGTTATTAGTATTAGGAGAACTTAGTATGTTGAGCTGTGTGGCGTTTTTCAGCTTGAAGAGAAGTTAAGTGTTTCAGAGAGGAAAGCATCAATGATAGAGAGAATCACAAAAGAACATATGGAAATGCAGGAGTTAGCCAGATATCCTTTAATCGATATTGTTTGGACTCCTCTACTTATAGCTAATTATTTACTAGTTCACCTCATTGGTGGAAGAGAATGAATTTGTAGTGGATCTCATATTTTCATGACATGTTCCACATTTGCTGTTACAGTCTCGTAATCTCCTATTGTATTACTGAGAAACTCTTTCACACCTCAAAATGACACTTATGGAATGAGCACCCATGCTTTAGATTTGTCAACTATTTTTGTGTCCTTGACTGGAAGCAAGCAGCCTTCTGAATCAGAAAAAGATGTGCTTCCCTTGGTGATGAGCTACAGAGGTCGGTATCTCCCAGTTGTCATAGGGACAATGCAGAGGCATTAGGTGAAATTCTTCAAGCAGGTGATGAATATGAGCTTCTTGTAAGTAGTCCCTGACATTAAGCTGATGATAGTCAAAAGCAGGACACTGAGGTGCTTACGTTTCTGCTCTTATGTCTTCCACTGGCTTGGCTAAGCTTTGTTCTACTATAGATAGGTCTAGTTTGCAAAATTGACACTCCTACTTTTCTACTCATTTCCCCAATACTTCCCAAAGAACAAATTTAATGAAAACTGTAAAATAAAACATACTGTTACCATGAGGATAGTTGTATTTCTGCTCTTTCAGCAATCTTTTGCATTGGTAAAGAAGAAAGTTAAATGTACTTGTCTCTAATATCCTAATAAAATGGTTGTCACCGCCCATGCTCTACCTCCCATTATTGTGGTATTATGGGGAGCTTGAAAGTGAATCCACCAGAATGCTTTTTTGAAGGATTGGAAGTGATTGTTGTAAGAATATGAATTGTTTTGTTCGGCTGAATAGGAAGTCATCTATTGGATTTTCTGTTTGCTCATATGTTGTTGATCCTTATATATCCCTCACAATCAATGATAAGACTGGAGATCTAGCATCTCTACTACCCTTGCCCTGTACCTGGCTGCCTGCCAACATGTCCTCAACTTTAGAACTTTGTAAATTGACATTCAAAAAGTCATCCATAATCAGCTAAAGAGCCAAGAAACTACAGTGAACAATGAGTCAGATACTTACAGCTTTACTAGGAATTGTGGAGGGGACTGATGGAGGAAATGAAACCAGACCTGAACGGGCACACTTTTGATCTTCAACATGTATAGAGAATAAAGCAGAGACGGGCCGATGGTCAGAGAACTTGCTTTCACTGCGGAAATAGGAAAGCTGTTTAACTCCCTTACCATACCATAGGATCCTATCGCACCTGCCATCAACATTCCAAATGTCATGATAGTAAGTATGAGCACATAGGGGCTAGCAATGACCATTACTTGGTCAGATTCCTATAGAATCTTTCTTTTGTTTAATTTAAACCATCAGTTTTGGACAAAGGGACTAGACCTGAGGTTTTTCAATTTTCTGGGGGATAGCAACTAGTGCCTTTTCGCAAGGGGTGGGGATGTTTAACTGTCAAAAGTACTAGGAAAAAATGTCAAGTGATGATTGTACCATGCTGGAGTTCTTTGCTTCTCCCCAGCTCTGCTTGGAAGTCCACCAGAATAACGATTGCAATTGTAAGAAGAATATTTGTATGTGGGTGCAAACTCTATATTTCCCTCTTTCCAACCCTGAAACACTCCACCTTCTTCGAGTTCCTTCCGCAACTGGTCAAACTCTTGCAGGGCACTCCAATTTTGCTGCTTTATTAATTCCCTTGCTAAGTTGTCTTCCAAGTATAATCTGTAGTTGAGATCTCCAAACCAAAATATCTGGCTGTTCTACAAGAAAATGCATCTTGTCATCTTAGGTGAAAACATGTCATCCTTTTGTTATGCAGTGGAGTTTTAGTAATTATAAAAGATCTGCTTAGCCTCTCAGGTCTATATCTTTACTTTGAATCCAATTACTTTCTGACTATTATTATTTCCATTATCATTCTTGTAGTTTGATTCTGAAAGGAAATTCCTCTGCCTATGTTTTTATATTGAACACAATATGTTGAATCTATGTTACAACGGTGTTGACCAGATACATTCATGTTAGGACAACTCTTGTAATTAGTTGGGTATGAGAAAGACTGACTTACTCATGTCCTAAGATGGTGAGAGGAAGACCTTTACGTCTGTCTTCTGGCTGCCGAGGGAAAGATGTTCTCCTAAAAATTTCCGAGACTTGATGGTTCCTTTTCCCTTCATCACCTTTCTTTTCTCCTGAGGCTAAGTGAGCTGCCACAAAACAAAAACTAGTTCCTCCTATGGACATGCTCACAGAGACTGATCCTTTGTTTCCCAAATAGCCCATAATACCACAAGCTACTGAAGAGACTTTCACCTCCGAGACACGATGTTTCTTTAGCAATGCCCTTCTCATCCAGACACTAATGAAGACACCAACCATCTTCTTGCTCGCCATCAATTTGTACCTACCAACACGATCTGAAAGCTCACATTTGGTTCTAGTCTGACCTCTTGCTGGACTTGATATTTCATAGTCACTCAGTCTCCTATCCGATTCAGCAGCTCCATCATATTGATAATTGTCATTCGTGACTGGAATGATCATGGGTGTCAACCAGGCACCACCATACTTGCTATTTAGAGTTTTACCGATGAGCGAGTTCCAGTTAGTTGCTTCTGTTGGATCTTCTGCTCCAATTACTGTTTTAGTCTTTAGAGGTACTATTTCTTGAAAGCTGCTAGAGGAAAAGCTTTCTTAAATGACCAATTCTTTAAGTGTGATGAGTAAAGAATGTTGTCTTTTGATTTTTATACATACCCAAGAACATAAATATCAGCTGGTTCTTTCAGATGGAGCCACTCAATCAAATCTAGAGCTAGACTTCCCACGGGAGATCTTCCTGCAACATTCCATGTACCAACAAAGATTCTACAGAGCAAATATCGAATTATTTCCCCCAAAAATGTATTATCCTGTAAAGCATTAAAGTCTATAACATGATATACAAACCGAAATGCTCACCTTAATTCATTGTTTCTAATGCATGGTTCCATGTCCAGTGACCTACCAAAAAAACCATCCATGCATTCATCATCTTGTTCGTCGTTATCTGTGGAAACCAACCAAAAGAACTTTGAATACATAAAACGAATTAAACGAATAACATCAAGACAAGACTCTATCAAGATTACCAAGAAATGAAATAAACCTGAAACTTCGCTTAAATGCGATGCATCAGCTTTGCTTCGTCTTTTGATAAACCACAACCGAATTGCTTTTCGTCTTGATTTTCGTTGCCTGTTACCCATGATTTGAAATAAAGTCCATTCCTCAAACTCAAAGAGATGACATCTCTTTCTTGTCAAGTTGGATAGCTGAAGAATATACACATGGCTGGCTTTTAGGCTCTGGGTAAAGCTATTATTGTATTGGTCGCCTTGATAGAAGAAAATGTCATGGACTGGACGAAAAAGACAGCCCCAAGAAGGTCGAAAACCACCTAATTTAAGCGATAATTCCAAGACTTGAAGAGAAAGAACGAAATGTCAAAGGTGGTTGAATTGCCCATTTGAGAAGCTTCTCTAAAAGTCTATTTTATTTTCACTGAGTAGTTCAACCAGGTAGAAATTGGAACAGAATATAGGCCACACAAGGTTCTATCAGTTTTACGATTATGTTGTACTTTTACAACAAGTTCATTTAAGTCTCGTGTGCAACTTTTTAGCTGTGTCTAGAAGTTATCATACCACATGGCCAGATCAAACTGTCTAAGACGTGCATTTGTTAATTACTTTCAATCAAACACGATACCTAACTAAACTAACCCTTTTTTACAACCGTACATATCTGCATCATTTGCGTGAGATGACATCGTCTCCCAAGTCTCGAATTCATCACTAGGGTCGCAAACGGTCGGGTCGGATATGGACGGGTCAAAAACAGGTAATGTAAAAATGGATAAATTAATCGATCTGACCCGTATTTAATACAGATAAAAACTAGGTTAATAGGCGTATAATGTGAATATCTATATTATTTATGGCTTCTTGAATATGCTTACTTTTGGGAGAATACCTAATCTCCTAAATTTGAGGACCCGCCCAATTTAAGATTTTACAAATGTAAAAACTAAACTAATAAGTTATCCATTGGGTATTCATTTTCGAAGTGAATAATATGATTCTTATCCATATTTGATCCGTTTTTAAAAGTCGATTATCCAACCCATTTTTTAATGGATAATATGAGTGGTTAGCGGTCTCCTATTAACCATTTTCACACCACTATTTATCACGTAATAAGATATGTTTTCACTACCAAAAACATGGATAGGTGAAGTATAGCAACGATGCTGCAGTACCCTCTATGGTTGAACAATTTTAAATATATTTATATTTATATCAAGTTTGTACCTTCTATAACAAACTAGTAGGTGGCATATTAGTGTTAGATGTTTATTGATCTAAAATCTTAGAATCATCTCTGACCATTTGGCTCGTACTGTCATGAGCAGTAAGTCGGATTATCAGTACTTAAGCTGTAATTGTTTAATTTAGGCCTCCATCATTAAAACATAAAATGTGAATTATTATTGAGAGAAGGTCGTGAAACGACCTATTACTTCAAGGTAGTAACTATCATAATAAATATTTCTTGTCCAAGTTGAACCATCCCAACATTATAATTATCCACCAGTTGTATGGTGACAGATTCTTCATTCTTGGCGTGGAGTTTTCAAAACTTGTTTTTTATACTAGTATGATTGATGGCATTTTTTAGATTAAAATAGCACGGGCTAGTCAGTTTTCGGACTGGTCATTCAAAAATAATCAGCGTTTGCCAAGC